AAACTATTGTGACAATACAACTATTCACAATATATATCTCAGAATAATTAAGTTAAGATAATGATTAAGGTGGTCATTATTTAAAGGTACACTATGGACAGGTGGTCATTATATAAAGGTACAGTATGGAAGAGTGGTCATTATATAAATTACAGTATGGAAGGGTGGTCACTATCTAAAGCAGACTATGGAAGGGTGGTCATTATATAAAGGTAACCATGGACAGGAGGTCATTATATAAAGGTAACCATGGACAGGTGGTCATTATATAAAGGTAACCATGGACAGGTGGTCATTATATAAAGGTAACCATGGACAGGTGGTCATTATATAAAGGTAACTATGAAGAGCTGGTCATTATATAAATGTACATCATGGACAGGTGGTCATTATATAAAGGTACAGTATGGAATGGTGGTCATTATATAAAGGTACACCATGGACAGGTGGTCATTATATAAAGGTAACTATGGACAGGTGGTCATTATATAAAGGTACAGTATGGAAGGGTGGTCATTATATAAAGTTACAGTATGGAGGGTGGTCATTATATAAAGGTAACTATGGACAGGTGGTCATTATATAAATGTACACTATGGAAGGATGGTCATTATATAAAGCAGACTATGGAAGGATGGTCATTATATAAAGCAGACTATGGAAGGGTAGTCATTATATAAAGGTAACCATGGACAGGTGGTCATTATATAAAGGTAACTATGAACAGGTGGTCATTATATAAATGTACACCATGGACAGGTGGTCATTATATAAAGGTACAGTATGGAATGGTGGTCATTATATAAAGGTACACCATGGAATGGTGGTCATTATATAAGGTAACCATGGACAGGTGGTCATTATATAAAGGTAGAGTATGGAAGGGGGTCATATAAATGTACAGTACGGACAGGTGGTCATTATATAAAGGTAGAGTATGGACAGGTGGTCATTATATAAAGGCAGAGTATGGAAGGGTGGTCATTATATAAAGGCACTCTATGGACAGGTGGTCATTATATAAAGGCAACTATGGACAGGTGGTCATTATATAAAGGTACACTATGGACAGGTGGTCATTATATAAAGGTACACTATGGACAGGTGGTCATTATACAAAGGTACACTATGGACAGGTGGTCATTATATAAAGGCAACTATGGACAGGTGGTCATTATATAACGGTAACCATGGACAGGTGGTCATTATATGAAGGCAACTATGGACAGGTGGTCATTATATAAAGGTAACCATGGACAGGTGGTCATTATATAAAGGTAACCATGGACAGGTGGTCATTATATAAAGGTAACTATGAACAGGTGGTCATTATATAAATGTACACTATGGAAGAATGGTCATTATATAAAGGTAACTGTAGACAGGTGGTCATTATATAAAGGTAACCATGGACAGGTGGTCATTATATAAAAGTAACCATGGACAGGTGGTCATTATATAACAATAACTATGGACAGGTGGTCATTATATAAATGTACACCATGGACAGGTTGTCATTATATAAAGGTACAGTATGGACAGTTGGTCATTATATAAAGGTACACCATGGAATGGTGGTCATTATATAAAGGTAACTATGGACAGGTGGTCATTATATAACAGTAACTATGGACAGGTGGTCATTATATAAATGTACACCATGGACAGGTTGTCATTATATAAATGTACAGTATGGACAGGTGGTCATTATATAAAGGTACAGTATGGACAGGTGGTCATTATATAAAGGTACACCATGGAATGGTGGTCATTATATAAAGGTAACCAAAGACAGGTGGTCATTATATAAAGGTACACCATGGAATGGTGGTCATTATATAAAGGTAACCATGGACAGGTGGTCATTATATAAAGATAACTATGGACAGGTGGTCATTATATAAATGTACACCATGGACAGGTGGTCATTATATAAAAGTCCACTTTGGACAGATGGTCATTATATAAAAGTAACTATGGACAGGTGGTCATTATGTAAATGTACACTATGAAAGGGTGGTCATTATATAAAGGTACAGTATGGAATAGTGGTCATTATATAAAGGTACAGTATGGACAGGTGGTCATTATATAAAGATACAGTATGGAATGGTGGTCATTATATAAAGGTAACTATGGACAGGTGGTCATTATATAAAGCAGACTATGGAAGGGTGGTCATTATATAAAGATACCATGGACAGGTGGTCATTATATAAAGATAACTATGGACAGGTGGTCATTATATAAATGTACACCATGGACAGGTGGTCATTATATAAAAGTCCACTTTGGACAGATGGTCATTATATAAAAGTAACTATGGACAGGTGGTCATTATGTAAATGTACACTATGAAAGGGTGGTCATTATATAAAGGTACAGTATGGAATAGTGGTCATTATATAAAGGTACAGTATGGACAGGTGGTCATTATATAAAGATACAGTATGGAATGGTGGTCATTATATAAAGGTAACTATGGACAGGTGGTCATTATATAAAGCAGACTATGGAAGGGTGGTCATTATATAAAGATACACTATGGACAGGTGGTCATTATATAAAGACACACTATGGACAGGTGGTCATTATATAAAGGTACACCATGGAATGGTGGTCATTATATAAAGGTAACCAAAGACAGGTGGTCATTATATAAAGATACACCATGGAATGGTGGTCATTATATAAAGGTAACCATGGACAGGTGGTCATTATATAAAGATAACTATGGAAGGGTGGTCATTATATAAAGGTGCATTATGGACAGGTTATATAACAGATATGGGCTAGAGCCATTATATAAAGGTGCATTATGGACAGGTGTTATTTATATAAAGGTGTACTGCATAAGGGTAGTCATTATATAGAGGTGCACTATGGAAGGGAAGGGTGGTCATTATATAGAGGTGCACTATGGACAGGTAGTCAAGTTATATTACAGATATGGGCAGGTGGTCATTATATAGAGGTGCGTTA